AAAAAATCAGGCCTGTACGGGATTCGAACCACTGACCTCTGCGATACTAGTGCAGCGCTCTACCAATTGAGCTAACAAGCCAACTGGGAGCAGGCCGTTAAGTTGATTCGTAATAAACCCGTGATGATAAATCAGATACAATGTATATATGAAGTTCATATATTTTGAACTGCGGTATTAAATACGTATGATGCACGATCCTCGCAGTAGAGAGCGTTATTTATGCAATAGCGAAAATCAGACCTGAAAAAAATCAGGCCTGTACGGGATTCGAACCACTGACCTCTGCGATACTAGTGCAGCGCTCTACCAATTGAGCTAACAAGCCAACTGGGAGCAGGCCGTTAAGTTGATTCGTAATAAACCCGTGATGATAAATCAGATACAATGTATATATGAAGTTCATATATTTTGAACTGCGGTATTAGATACGTATGATGCACGATCCTCGCAGTAGAGAGCGCTATTTATGCAATAGCGAAAATCAGACCTGAAAAAATCAGGCCTGTACGGGATTCGAACCACTGACCTCTGCGATACTAGTGCAGCGCTCTACCAATTGAGCTAACAAGCCAACTGGGAGCAGGCCGTTAAGTTGATTCGTAATAAACCCGTGATGATAAATCAGATACAATGTATATATGAAGTTCATATATTTTGAACTGCGGTATTAGATACGTATGATGCACGATCCTCGCAGTAGAGAGCGCTATTTATGCAATAGCGAAAATCAGACCTGAAAAAAATCAGGCCTGTACGGGATTCGAACCACTGACCTCTGCGATACTAGTGCAGCGCTCTACCAATTGAGCTAACAAGCCAACTGGGAGCAGGCCGTTAAGTTGATTCGTAATAAACCCGTGATGATAAATCAGATACAATGTATATATGAAGTTCATATATTTTGAACTGCGGTATTAGATACGTATGATGCACGATCCTCGCAGTAGAGAGCGCTATTTATGCAATAGCGAAAATCAGACCTGAAAAAAATCAGGCCTGTACGGGATTCGAACCACTGACCTCTGCGATACTAGTGCAGCGCTCTACCAATTGAGCTAACAAGCCAACTGGGAGCAGGCCGTTAAGTTGATTCGTAATAAACCCGTGATGATAAATCAGATACAATGTATATATGAAGTTCATATATTTTGAACTGCGGTATTAGATACGTATGATGCACGATCCTCGCAGTAGAGAGCGCTATTTATGCAATAGCGAAAATCAGACCTGAAAAAAATCAGGCCTGTACGGGATTCGAACCACTGACCTCTGCGATACTAGTGCAGCGCTCTACCAATTGAGCTAACAAGCCAACTGGGAGCAGGCCGTTAAGTTGATTCGTAATAAACCCGTGATGATAAATCAGATACAATGTATATATGAAGTTCATATATTTTGAACTGCGGTATTAGATACGTATGATGCACGATCCTCGCAGTAGAGAGCGCTATTTATGCAATAGCGAAAATCAGACCTGAAAAAAATCAGGCCTGTACGGGATTCGAACCACTGACCTCTGCGATACTAGTGCAGCGCTCTACCAATTGAGCTAACAAGCCAACTGGGAGCAGGCCGTTAAGTTGATTCGTAATAAACCCGTGATGATAAATCAGATACAATGTATATATGAAGTTCATATATTTTGAACTGCGGTATTAGATACGTATGATGCACGATCCTCGCAGTAGAGAGCGCTATTTATGCAATAGCGAAAATCAGACCTGAAAAAAATCAGGCCTGTACGGGATTCGAACTACTGACCTCTGCGATACTAGTGCAGCGCTCTACCAATTGAGCTAACAAGCCAACTGGGAGCAGGCCGTTAAGTTGATTCGTAATAAACCCGTGATGATAAATCAGATACAATGTATATATGAAGTTCATATATTTTGAACTGCGGTATTAGTAGGAATAGTAGTAGTAGAAAAACGAAGACTGGGTCTTAGGTCTTAGGTCTTCGTTTTCGTAACACCCCCATATTTGCCTCCACGTGCTCGGAAAGCGCTCGAAAGCGGGATGAAAATATGAGTCCCAAGATCTCTCGGTCATTGCTAGTCGCTCGTACCCAAATTTTTGAACGTGATTTGTTGTTGAACTTGAAGCTTTGTGCCATGTTGGTTTTGACGCGATTCAGGCTAGGGTTGCAGACTAGGAGAATTTGTGTTGATTTTGAATTACTTTGGTTGTTGGATTTAGTTTGTTTCGAGTGTTGATACTGATATTAGCTGTTGAAGTTGAACAAATGTTATCGTTGATCTAAATATAATAAATGTTTCTGATGGCAGCAATTTGATTTGTTGAATTTTCACCATTACGGCTTCCATACTCTCCCCTTTCCCCAATTCCCCAAACTTTTTCCAAACAGAGAGCCTATTCACAGGCTAGTTTTCAGGATGTCCGAACCAAATTGTCTCACAAGACGATACAGTAAGTTACGGTCTTTTTGAAAAGGTCTATAGCTTTTTCATAAACGTCAAAAAAAAATTTAAAATCAACAGGCCGGATACCCATTTTTGAAGAAGATTTGTATTCGAAAAGTCTCCAGTTTTTATCTTATAATGGTGCGCAGGAACACAGCGGTTTAAACGTCTATGGGTGTGCAAACGTTCTAATGACTAGAGGTACAAGCAGCCACACAACCCAGTAAGTCAAGGTGTTTGAAAGCTCCCCCATATTTTTGTGATCATTTTGATTTAGTAGTCATAACACAAGAATAGACACGACATTTACTTACCGACCCCTAAATTGAATTTAGATATTCAGGCCCGTGCGTCCCTGCGCTTAAAGGGCCACCCTAACTTGAGCGTACAACTTAGATTTTTTGCTAAATTTCAAACAGAATTGCAGTTCAACTGGATATTTGCACCTGAATAGGATTTTTTTTCGAAAAGTCTTAGGTTTTCCTGATCCCTATTTTTGTTTTCTCTTACTAATTTCTATGAGTGTCCCAATTTTTTTCGCTTATTTTGCGAGACGAAGATCGTTTCTTAGGTTTTCCTGAGAAATTTAGCGCGCGAAATTGGCGCTCGGGCGCCCGAAACCAATCCCCTCGCGCATGCCCTACCTACGCTTGACCGCTGTGTTGTGCACAGCCGGCCACAGTTGACCTAATGCATGACACACCGGTCAAACAAAGGATATGCGTGTGCGTGTCTCTAGAAATCAGACGGGACTCGTTAGGTAATCGTTCAATATCCAGCAAGATTTTATCAGGGAAGTTATGTAATGTTTTTCGGCATTTGTTTGTTACTCACAGCGTCGGGAAGTATCGGGATCATGGTTGAAGTGACTCTTTCTGTTTGCAATAACCCCCTTCCAAGACCTTAGATCAAGAGATTATAAACAGTTTACAAGTTTTTGCTCAAATTGAATTTTTTTGAGTCGTTTTGCTTTTATCATTGTTGAAGAATATTCAAGTATCAGCGCAATACCTAAGGGTTTGCATTCTAGGGAAATATCCCGTATCTTTTGACCTCAACGTAGTGAAATTGTTTGCTACTAAGGAAACGATTAAAATAACAATAGATTCCAATATAGCTCTTGAAGGAAAAGGAAGCATACAGCTTTTAGTTGAATTTCGAGACTTTACCTCGCCTCTCCAACTATCTTGTCACCTGATACTGAAGACATGGATGTCAAAACGTTATTGGATAACCTTCGAGAAGAAGTGTCCTGCCCAGTATGTACTAGCATATACACGGAGCCAAAACACCTCCCATGTCTTCACAGTTTCTGTCTGCAATGCTTGAAACAGTGGCACAGAACAAGCCATGGCCACGAGACGATAAGGTGTCCGAATTGTCAAGCCGTTAGCAGAGTGCCTGATAGTGGCGACCTGAAAGATCTACCCACAAGGTTTTACCTAAACGGCTTGATCGATGTGCTGGCCATAAAAGAGTGCCAAACCAGCCAGGTGCGATGTGAAAATTGCGAGAAGAGAAGCTGTGAAAGTTCATATTGTTTCCAGTGTTGCGTATTTTGGTGTGAGGAATGTGTTATTGGACATAATATCATGAAGAGCAATAAAGATCATCGTGTTATGGCGCTTAAAGAATTTCAGAACAAAGACTTCGAGGACGTTTTGAAACGCCCCTTGTACTGCTCGAAGCCTCGACACGAGAAAGAAGAACTGAAATATTTTTGCACTAAATGCGAATCACCTGTTTGTCAAATTTGTGCCACGATGAGTCATAGCGGTCACACTCTAGAGCACATCGAAGAAAAAGCTGAAAGACAAAAGATTGAAACTAAATCATTTCTTGACGCACAAAGACGCAATTTGCAAAAAAAGATGAACTCTCTCGGTCAACTTGATGAATATTACGCTCAACTGGTGAGACAACGCGATGATATGAAGGAAAGTGTTCAAGGGCTTGTGAACAAGTTGATCGCAACTATTGAAGCGAAGAAACAAAACATTTTTGCAGCGGTGGAGAACGAAACGAAGAATACACTCGATCATCTTACGATGCAAAAGGCGGAGATAGAGCGTCAAATAAAGATCCTCGAATCGTCACTGGAAAAAGCTGAGAAACTTTTAATACAAAGTACAAACGTCGAAATCGTTCAACTGAAGAAGCCAATAGAGACAATATTTCAGGCGGTTATTCAAAGCCAGCCAGTGGACGTTGACCCGGAAAGAGTACCCAACCTAATCTTTGCAGAGAATCCAAAGTTCTTGTCCACTGTAAACACTGAAGAAATCGGAACTTTGAGAATGACACTTCAAGCAAAAGCATTTCACTCTGTTGCTGAAGGAAAAGGACTTGGAAAAGCAATTGTCAACCGTGAAGCACATTTTACTTTGACTACAAGGAACGTTGAGGGAGGACAGTGTTACAATGAACATGACCACGTAACGGTGGAAATCTTGGATGGAGAAGGTCGACAGTGCGCTACAGAAGTACGAATGAATGACAATAAGAATGGCGTCTATCAGATCAGTTATTCACCCAATTGCCAAGGCGAATGCAAAGTAGTAGTAAAGGTAAACGGTGAACATGTGTGTGGCAGTCCTTTTGCCGTGCTGGTAAAACTATTTCAATACAAAACTATTTTATCTTTTGGGAACAAAGGCTCGTCCCAAGGAATGTTAAAGTTTCCCTGGGGGATCGCAGTTAATGCCCAGAACGAGATAGCTGTAACTGATTGTGAAAATAATAGAGTTCAAATCTTCGACAGTGAGGGTTATTATTTAAGATCCTTTGGTAAGAAAGGTAGTAAAGCGGGAGAATTTTATTGCCCAATGGGAATAGTTTTTGATAATAACGGTAACATTTTGGTATCAGACAACAACAACCATAGGGTTCAGATTTTTAATGGGGAGGGAGAGCTCTTGGGAAGTATCCCAGGGAAAGGGAGCTCCGTCGATCGTCAGTTCCTTATTCCGTGTGGTTTATCTGGAGACAGTGATGGGAATATCATTGTCACTGATTCAGGTAACAAACTGATTATGATTTTTTCGCCAGTTGGCAAGTTTCTAATGAGGTTAGGGGGGAAGGGCTCTTTTATTCACCCTGTTCACTGCGTTCAAAGTGGTAGATATCTCCTAGTATCAGACCCTGGTGAACATTGTATCAAAGTGTTTGACAAGAATGGAAACTTTCAGTACAAGTTTGGAAGGAAGGGTACTGGAGACGGGGAGTTTAATGGGCCAGGATGTTTGTCAGTGAACAGATTAGGACACGTAATAGTTTGTGATACAAATAATAACAGAATACAATTCTTTGAATTGGATGGAACTTTTGTGGGCAAATTTGGAACAAAAGGTAGCAGTTTAGGAGAAATCCGTTCACCCAATGCAATAGCTGTTCTTAATAGTGGGCGAATTGTGGTTGTCGATCAAGGTAACCACCGTTTACAGATTTTTGAGTAAACTAGAAGAGACATTTTCAACTGAATGTCGGGGTTGCTTTGTTCTTGCTCAGAAAAGTCGCAGCAGGATCTCAACCAATCAGATGCAAAACTAAAACCAATCCAAACTTGGTCGACGCGTTTACCCTTCGAGTGCCTGTTTTTACCGATATCTTCCCGCGCTTCGAGTTGCAAATTGTGTTCCTTGTGTGGTTCTTAAAGTGAGCCTGGGCCGCCTGTGATATATCCTTCTGCATTCACTGCCACTGATTGCCTCTGCCACTTTGTTCGGTTCAATCCCCCGCGTGTTCATTCACTCGACCCAGGCTTCACAAAAATAGTGCTCCTTCGACAAAGAAAGACGTCCATGTTCATTAGCCTTATTAGAGATCGCGATATTTGACAGTTATGTGTTTAATTGCCAAATCTTTTAGCAGGGCGACTTTTATTCAGTGATTGATAGACAAGGGAAAATACCACGCAGCTTTCGAAAAGCCAGGTCACCTTCAGACTCACTCCTGTTCAAGGGCTTGGCAACTAACGCATAAAATGTAACAACACACGATTGAAAAACAATGCCGTGATAGGGTATAAAAAAGGCCTCAGAGAAAGTGTCGAACATTTTAAATCTAGCTAAAAGGTCCTCTTTGTTGTTGCATCATAACTCGTTGCACAAAAGAGGGTGGCTTTACTGCCCCTGTTATTTATCTAGAAGCAAGGCCAAATTGCCGAAGCTGACGGAAAACGTGTCTGTTTTGACAGGAGACAGAACCCAGAGGCCGAGCTAGGTCACGTAAAATCCAGATTCTTTGTCCACAAATCCTGATTTTCCAGTTTTTAAAATGCTCCATATGTATTGTGGGAACTATTGGCGCCTTAAAAAAACATGGCTGAAGTTTCTTCGGAGGTTCATTTACTTCTTGGCAAAGAAGTGGCAAGGTAAAATACGTTTTGTACTTTTTTTTTCACTAGAAATTGGAACTGAAATCATTCCCTAACTATCTGTAAACAGAACTTTATTAAATACGCTGTGAATTTTGATTCTTGTGTGGTTCTCGAAGGTTTCGTGATCGCTTGATCTCCTTGCACGTGCACAACGTATGAGTGTGTTTTGTAGTTGTGAAGCATTATCCGATGACAATCTTAATTGAAAATTTACCTAGTCGACCACGGACTGAAGACTGATTTTAATAACAGTATGAAAAGTTCATTGGAAAAACAATATTGTTTCAGAAGTGGAAATTAATTAATCAAGTTAATTAGAAAAGAGCGCTACGTTGTGATCACGCGCGATTTTCCATAACGATCCAATTTCATTCATCTGCACCCTAGACCTCACTATCTAGAGGGTATTCAGTGATCACCTGTATTTTATAGATCCTTGCGGTATTTCCTTTGAATGTAAGCCAAATGTACCTCTTTCTCAAACCATTGTTGCCTCCTCTTCCTTTAACATAAATTTGTAATTACGTTACCCCAATTTTTGGGGTACCCCCTCAGGTCTTGATCACTTCTCTTTCCTTTTCAAAAGCTTCCTGGAGAGTTACTGATTTAATTTCTATGTAAATCTTATCAATC